CCGGGAGGTCAACAGGGAATCCGTGGTGACTGCGTTCCTGCCAGGGCTTCGAGGACGGCTACGCACACCATGGTCAAACAGGCCTGCGAGCGTGCGAACAAGCTTATAATATACTGAATTTGGCTCTTCGTGGATGTTGATGTACTGCTCTGCAACGACGTATATCTGTCCTGTGTCTGATACATCTTGTTGCATTTTGTTGCGTAGTTACAAACTTGACTTGAACTCTCACATGCTCAATAGTACCCTCAAGTTGGCAAGTGACTCTGAAGCTCTGCGGCCTGTAGCACTGCCAGAGCCAGCGTCCAGGGTCCCTGGCCCTGCAACGGTACGAGGCGTCTCATTCTATTGCCGAGAAGTCGAGGCTGCAACTTACCACATTGCCCTATGCTTGGAGTATTCGTCTCAGTGGTACTTGGGTGTGATCCAGAAAGCGCCTGGTTAACGACTGCATGTTGGCGCTCGGGCATCGTTCGTGCAGCGACGGACAGGTCCGGCCATGCCACTGTCTTGATATAGACTAGCTAAGACCACACTGAAAGCTCCCTTAAGACTCACAGTCACTACAAAGAGCGAGAAGCTGTTTCTATTGTATGATACCACAGCGACAGCGACAACCATCACAACCGCCGCCACCGCCACCACCACCGCTACTGCTCCTGCTGCTATTGCTACTAGCACTACCACTAAGCCCTTTACACTTAAACCCTCAACAATCAAATCATGTCAAATAGCTCTCAAGGCCTTGTCCAAAGACCCGAGGACAGTGTTGAACGAGATCTCGTCAGGAGCAATGCCTTGATACCAGGACTTGCACTGCTCAGAGGCTCCAATATGCCTGGACTGAACAAAGCATAGAATTACTAAAGGGCAGTCGACCATCAGAACCCATTTCCTGCAGCAGCGCCAGCGACAATTGCCAAAGGGCCGCCCGCTCGCAGGCGAGCCTTTTGCATGGGATGAAGCTGTACAATACACACACACACACACATATATATATATATATACATATTCATATTTATATGTGTGCGAGAGATGTAGAGGCAAAGAGAGAGAAAGCGAGAGAGAGAGAGAGAGCGAGAGATGGAGAGAGAGGGGAAGGGAGGGAGGGAGGGAGGGAGAGGGAAAGAGCGAGGGAGAGGGAGGGAGAGAGTCGGAGGAGGGAGAACGCAAGGGAGACAGAGGGAGACAAAGAGAGGAGAGAGAGAGAGAGAGAGAGAGACAGAGAGAGAGAGGGAGAGAGAGAGAGAGAGGGAATGAGAGAGAGCGAAAGACGCGTTGCATCTATCTCTCTCGCTAGTCGTGTGGATGAGTTGTTGAATGCACAACCGAATGCAACACTACATGTATTTGCATCTGTACAAAGCAAGTATTTTGTATGTAATAAATTACGTACTATTTTGCGCTGTGTAACTTGGGCTCCCAAACTTTAAGGCGCCGGCAAGACGGAGTTGAAGCTGATCCTGCAAATAGCTAGCGGGTTCCTATCAAACGCAACCTTCTCGGGAATTCGACTGTCGAAGCTGCCAGAAATCATGAGTGCAACGGTGGAGGATTTTGGGGTTTAGGGTCTGTCTCAACTTCACGAGGCTTTGCAGCGATCCCTACTCTCCCTGCAAGCCCACATGCTCCTGCTGATGGTTGCCTGAAACCTCGTATCCGCCCGCTCCACAGCCGAAGTACTGAATGCCTCTACGAATCCGGAAGCTTCAGGACACCCAGCCACTGAGATGTCCTGTCTCTGTCAAGCTGCCGGGCTGGAAAGGACTGGAGGATGCTAAGGGCCTTGGCAAAAGTCGTAGGCAAACTAAGAAGACTTCTCGGTCGCGGCGGAGACTTAAGACCTAGATGTGACCAAACATGAAAGCCCAAGAGCGGCTTGCGCCTTGACTGCGGCTGGCAACATCGACGTTGACAACACAGTGGCACCGTCCCAGCCGAGCTTGTTGGGGACTGGAGGGTTGCCTTACTCGGTCTTCCCTTCGACTGGAAGCTTCAGTAGACAACTGTCCGAACGATAAGGGAACTACTAGAACCCTTGTAATACCCTTTGAACGATGGAGCCCCTTACCGTACCCTTTTAAAAACTACGAAGGCAGACCGGGAGATGCGAGGCATGATGCATTACAATGGCTTTAACTCCCTCAGCAGGACGAAACCAGCGGTCCGAACTCAATATAAGGGAGTTTCCGAAAATAGGGGGCCCTAATATAGTACCCTAAATAGTAGGATCCTTATTACAAAGACCCCAAATAAGGTACCCCTTGTTTTCGGAAACTCCCATAACATTCCTTGACCCTTGGTCCCCTTAATCATACAGTAGAAGCCAGAAGGTTGGAACATGGGTTTAGGAGAATTAGTGCTCGGATCCCTTATCCTTTACCTTAAGGGCATGTGGATACTAATGTTCCAACTTTCTGGCCTCTACCAGACCATAAAGACCCTAGAACCCCTAAGCTCTCGGGCCCGGAGCTCTAGACCCAAAGCCTTTAGGCTGTTTAGGGGGTTTAGGTTTAGGGTTTAGGGTTTAGACCCCTACACTCAATCCCAAACCCCGTAGAGCCTGGCCTGGGTCCACTCGGAGCTTCGGGCGCACGCTGCCGCCGCAGAGTTCAGGGTGATGGTGTCCTGAAGACTCTACTATACCCTGAATAAGCTAGCTTTTTGGGGCTCCTTAATACTGTTTCCTGAAGTAAGTCCCTAAGAAGGTAGGTTATTAACCGTTATTCCGAGTCAAGGTATAATATGGCAGACTAAGCCGTCGGATTCCAGTGGGCCAATTTCGGATTTCGGGTTCTGTTGGGTGCAGTTGTGCCTAGGACTCTATTGCACTAGTTTCGGGTTCAGGGCTTCTGCCGGTTGTTGAGCCGCAGATTCGGACACCGCAGGCAAGGACTGCATCGACAGTCTGACGGGGTGAGTCGTTACGCAAACCCTGACCCGTGATCAGATGCTATCGTCTGCGCTAAACGGCACCACCATATCAACAAGCATAGCAAGTTCTAGCTCCGTTCATCCAGAGCCCAGGGTTACTTTAGAGTCTATAGGCTATGAGACAGGGAGAGGGTGCAGTGGATCATGAAATGAAGGAACAATGAATGACAATGTGGGGGCCCGCAGCCCTCTGTCATCAGACGCATTGACACGGAGCCAACTGATCATGTGCGAAAGCTTGGTTGCGCTCCGCAGGATAGGCTCCATGTGGCTCAACTGTATAGCAAGCCATACATGCATCTGGTCGGATGTAATTTCCGCCAAGCTAGTGTTCAAGACATTCAAGAACATGGCATTGGTACACGTATGTGAGTATACACCAAGATACTTCCGCAACAATGACTTAGCACCAACCTAAAACAACGGGAAACGAACGGTGGCACGAGGGTGAGTTTGAAGTTGGACACTGTCAGGTATCTGAGTGCTCGGCAGATTCAAGCAAGCGCTGGTGCATGTCGTCGAGCAAGCTGCAACGCAAGAACATGTACTTCGAACATGTACTATCATGTACTTCGAAAAAGCTCAAACTTCCGGCTGACTTGCCAAACTCGACACGAGGCTGGTTGAGCACGGGCTCAAGCTCTCAAACGCACAAAGCTTGCAGCTTTTGTTCTCAAGCGACACCATCGGACAACGAAACGCAGTTAGTTCAAATACCTTCGAAAGAGTGCAACAGATAGCTATCAGCTATTCGCTGACCTGTGGCCAGCTGACAGGATTCCATTGCACAGCTCATTTCAAGCATGACACATTGTGAAATCGAGGCGGCCAGCCATTCTCATACTGCAGCAACAAGACGCTCGCTCATGACAGAAACAGAACAGAGGCTGAAAGGTGACAGTGTTATCCTTAGCAGCAGCACTTTCAAGAATCCATCCATGATGCTTTCCCTTGACCCTGAACCTCTGACTGCCAAGCTCAGGCCAGTCGGGTGGTCGAACCTTGGGAGGTCTTTGGTTGGAATGGCTTTGTCAAACTGCATGCAGGCGTGCGATATTTCTCGTACTCATCACCCTTCATCATCTTCACCACCGGTGGATTACAGGTTTTACGGCGTTCAGGGTCACCCAATCCAATGCTCCATGCTTCATCATGATCTTAACTGGTTTCAAGTTTCACAGCTCGGACAGTCCAGTTGCGGCTACATGCAGGCTCTGTACTTGCTCTTCTAGGAGGTGAATTCCACAAACAAGCATAAACTAACGGAGGGAAGGACAGGCATGCAAGCATAAAGCACAAACAGACACTTGTTGCGCATCCACACGCGCACGGAGAGGACGACCGTGCGTGCTCCCGCAGGTATGTGCACACCCCATGTCTCTCTCACATGTGTGTGTATCACTTATACACGCTCTGCTTCGGTTCGTGCTTGGATCTACGTGGTGGTTGCGACGGTGAGTATCGTCACCGTAACAGAAATAATACTGGACCTTACTATACCATTCTTCGAGACTCCGGGAGCTGTTGCTGTTGCTGCTGTTATCGATGTTGAGCTTGTTTTGCTTGTTGCAGGTTGCTACAGTTGTTGTCATTATTGTTGTTGGTGGTGGTGGTGCTGCTGCTGCTGTGTGTTGCGGTGGCTCTTACGGCGGCAGGTAGAATCCGATGTCGCCATTACCATCAGCCGATCAACGGAAACTTCCATCATTATCATATTCATTGTCGTGACTGTGTTGTTAGTATATATACATGATGCACAGCAGCAGGTCGGAGAGTGAAGCATCTCTCTTTTTCAGCAAGCAGACTTCTGCAAACCAGCTCCACAAGCTGTACCGAACCGATGCTGTACTGGGATTCTGTTGCCAGAAGCGTGAAACTGCCTGGGACCAAGCCATCATCATTGCCCAGAGTCCATTGAATCCATAGTGTCCTTCGCTTGCTTCTCTCTCTTGGGGCAAATACTACCGGAAGTTGACTTCTGACGCCGCGACATGCTACAAGACGACTCGGGCTAAACATGCACACACTAGTGCGGACACCGTCCGATGAAACTCGCGCAATGGATTTCACAAGTCAGCACATTGCTGCCAAGCTTCTTTGCTTGAGGAGGTAGTGAGTCTTACCTCCAACTCTTCTCGCAACTCTCTCGCCACATCACGGTCTCTTGACGGGAGGTAAAGGATCATGTTGTGGTACGACGTGTAGGCCATCAAAAGAATTACCATCACTCCGTAGACCATGTGAATCATAACATCGTTGTCGTAAACCGGGCACTTGACGTAGTTGCCCGTGCTCTGCCAACCACCGGAGGCGACCACTACGCTGTGATCCGTCTTCGGCACCAAGATCAGCGGATCAAGGTACTGGAGTGGCAACATGGGCAGAAGGACCTCAGCGTTGAAAGCAAAAAACTGCGATGTGTGGAAGATGGGGCTGTGATTCTGTCCGATCCAGCTTTCCTCGCATGCCGGATGGTAATGGCTTCGGTCTTTTTTGCACAAGTACTCGTAACCCGGTCGCCTTCAGCAATGGGAGCTGCAAGTAGATGCTCCCCACGGCTGCTTTCCTCTTTACGTTGTACAGCTCCTTGGGGGAGTCGGTATCTGCCTCCGAACAGGGCTATTGGTGGATGCAACCAGAGTTCTCCCGGCGTTCTCTCCCAAGCGAGCCTCTCCAAGTGCGTAAGAGACAGCGTTGGAAATGATTGAGAGCCCAGCAGACCCCACGAAGGTGGAAGAGATGGCTGCGACGGTCACAACCACGCCTTAGTGCCGGCATCTCATGCTGCTGCTGTTGCAATCACCAATGTCGAGATGCCCCTCTACGCATTGGCCGAAAGCTTAAAGCATGAGCATGACCACTAGGGTTCGTGTCCCTGCAGGCACTAGACACCTTGAAACCTTACTAATGACGGACTCGTGCACATGGAGTTGAGGGGTGAGAAGCTGTTGAACATCACTCGAACGGCCCTTAAGCTGTAGGTGGTCGGTATCATGCTCTTCTGCCCAAGAGGCTGGTCACGTCGGAGAGGGGCTTCCTGAGTTCTTCTGGTCGGGGATGTGTGTAGGTTTCAGGTCTTCGTAGCAGTCATGCAGTATCAGTATCAGTAGTAGTAGTAGTAGTAGTAGTAGTAGTAGTAGTAGTAGTAGCAGCAGTTGTTGTTGTTTTAGTACCAGTACTAGCGTGGCCCGTGGGCAGTCTGCTTCCAGCAACTGGTGAGGGCAAAGTCCAGTTTCAGCAGACTTCAAAGTTCGCGGCTGTTCTGAGGTGAAACAAGCCAAGAGTGTGAGATGTGATTTCTTCAGCAAGGCACGTTATTTGCCCCCCCCCCCCCCCCCCACCCCCTCAACCCCCTCCAACTACAGGAATCGATGAATCTGTCGGGGCGCCGAGTGGGCCCAGTCTCTAGTACTACTGTACGCCTTCTGCTGACTCTCTCTCTAATCTACTCACTGCCGCAACTAGCATTATTTGAGCGATGTTGCCAAGGTAGTCCTGAAGCGACTTTAAGCTAGAAAGCATCAGAAAGGCTTCAAAGCCATGAACAGCAGTCGAAGTGCGGATAATAGCACCAGCCCTTGTCATCCTTCTCGACCTGTGTAGGCACGGAGCTGACAGCCATGCTCATCACGCTGAGGATCCTCAGATTTGAATGAAGCACTGTGAAAATGGCTAAGAGGACATCGAGTAGCGACAAGAACATGCGACTAAACTAAGCACCAGCACTAAGAACTGTAGCATGAGCCACTTGTGCTGAATACTAGGGTCAAAACGAATGCGTCTTTGCTCGTGGCACCGCAATGTTGACTCTAAGGTAGAGCAGCTCATGCGACACACAATGTGACTGTGTGCAGTTCGCAATTGAAGGCATCCCGACCAAGAGGGTACCAAGTTGCACGTAGGACCAGACGAAGAAAACAACCACCCGGAAGGCAAACCGCAAGTCCTTAGACCCGGGGGCACGGGCACTGCAGTCATGAATCTGAGGCACAGCGCCAAACCGATCCATCAGTTTGGGAAATCCCAGATGGCAGCATCTTCAGCGCTCGCAGAGCTTACCAACATGCTTGTCATCCTTTACCCTGGTGCTGGTTGATTTCAGGCCACTTGTTGCCATCTTGCTGCTGAAACTGCCAGCGATGCATAAGCACTGCCAAGAGCAAGAGGCAAAACGGGAACAGCTACCGAAACGCGGGCCTCTGTGGTCCAAGAGTCTGTCAGTGTCAACTGGTGCGGCTCTCGGCTCCACATGAGGCCCAAGCCCGGGAGCATGTCGTTCACGCCTCGGGCACTGCCCTCAAGGTCTTCTTTCAGGGTACGCGAGCTCTTGTCTGTCCGGGATAAGCCTTCAAAGATAGCTAGTTAGCTAGGTTGCCATTGCCCAAACTTCCGTTCTCTCAAGATCGCATCGTGGGCTCTGTGAGGACACATGTCACAGGAAAGATCATCAGAATCCACGCCCGTCACCGCAAAAAAACAAGGAACTTGGGCTATATACTTTCTACGAAACTTGACCCAACAGCACTTCGGGCAGGGATCGTTTGAACCTATTGAAGGGTTCTGTTGACAACAAGCATTCCTGTTGGGCTTGAAGACGCTTAAAGTGTTGATCCGTACCGTCTCGGAGTCAGAAGTCATTCCTGCCTCCACACAACGAGCCGCACCACCATCGCTTCATCGGCACCTGACACGGGTTCAATTTTCATAGCGGAGAGACCAGACAAAATCTATGGATCGTCATGGTTTGCTGCCGTCATGATGATGGTGCCCATGCTGCCGTGTCACAGCTGCTTGTGTAATGTTTTACGTCGAACTTTTACGCAGTTGTAGAGATAAAGGCTGGCTGCCCATCGATCTGGCCAGAAAAGAAGCGCTGAAGTCGCGCTGCAAGTGTGAAATTAATGCGGTCCTTTCGCATGATTCACGGACCCGAGCCATCACCGGCTGTTCACATGACAAGCACTCTTCTTGTCAAACTAAGAGTTCGCAATCTGCCATCGATGCGTTCACTTCGGCTCGCCTTCTTCATGAGCTTTCTGGGGTACGGTGGCTCACCCAGCGAGTGCAGAAAATACCTTCGATGTGGCCAACTTGGATGAGACAAGCTCGCAAAACAACCCTAAACCCACCTTTCCCAAAGCCTCAGCTCCGAAATCAGACCCGAAACGCCTTGGGCCAAGTTGCTGGACCATGGACCCGATGGCGACGCAAGAGAAAACAGCTATCAGCAGCTCGAGGACGATGGCGACAGCTGGTACCCACAAGGCCGTGAAGGCTACCTGAAGACAAGTCTGGTGATCTGGTACATAATAAACATATATATATATATACACATATATATAATGTTCATGTGCAGTGGCATGTACCTGTATGTACATGACTTATGTGTGTATATATATATATATGTCTGTGTATATACATCTGTATATAGCGGGTGTACTCATCATGTTTTTCAAGCAATGCATCTGCCAAACACCTCTGGCCCAGAAAAACTCTGCACGACGCACATGCAACCAGGCCACGCACGCAGTCCAGATCGGCAGGGCACCTGATTCAGCGCATGGAAACTACCCATAGGCTCCATAGTAGTTCCTTTTTATTTTGGGGTTCATATTTAGAATCCTATAAGGCAATAGCAAGAAGGAACTACTATGGAGCCTATGGGTAACCGATACCCCGGCAAGCAGGACGAGGACTGCTAACCGTGACACGGGACAGGAGCACACATGGCAAACTCGCCGGTTGCAGCATCTTGTTCCTACAGCACATGTCCTGCAAGGTGTCTGCAACCGATGCCAAGGCACAAATAGTTTGTATGAGCTGGACATTGAAGGGAGTCACAGGATAACCTTCTCTATTCAAGGTCGCTTCCAACGACATCTGGTCGTGAACGATGTGGTAGAGCGTGAAGGTCACCGTCAGGACGAGTCCCCAACTTCCCAGGAACCAAATAGGATAGAAGATTTTGGGTGCCTGACAGCAGGGTTAGGGTTAGGTATTGGGGTTTAGAGTTGTTTATAGGGTGTTGGGCATACAGTTTGTGACAGCGCGCATGACAGGGGGCAACACAAACTCTGCGTTGGGGATGAGTTCAAGGAAAGGACCTTTGAACCGGAATTCCTATTATCGAGGCGTTAATAGTGTTAATTACCATAGGGGACACTAGAGAACATATTTGTAGATATTCCGACCCCACATATTCACAGAATGTAGGCTATGTCAGATGCATGCAAGACCAGGGCATGCGTCGGCTTAAACCCGCGAGATGCGTGCGTGTTCTGATCCTTGAAGTCTTAAAGGTTGAGGCTCATCCATATCTGCATGATCACAGGCATTCGCTGCAAACCAGCCTCATGCACGTGGTCCCAGAGATAATAGCCCCATAGGGCTTGCAAGGGCATGGCGGCTCGATACGGAATTGAGTCAAGGGGTTTCGGTCTCAAAAAGCTGAGTCTGCGGCGGAAATACTTTGCCACAGGTCAACATGATAGCGTTCTGCAACTCAAACCCAACCCCTGAACCCGGAACTAGACCCTTCGGACCTAGCTGTTGAGATTCGTCTCGGGCTGGCACCCAGCATCCGAATCTTCTCTTCAAGCTGCTCATGCGCGTCCACAATACAATGTAGGAAGCCTAAATCAATTTTTGGAATGTGGATTTGGGATATATTACACTCTAAAAGTATCTGGGCTATCAGGGGATGCTAGTCCCACAATTCAACTGAAATTTAACATTGCCCCGGCTCCAAAAACCATCGGGCTCCCGGCACTGCTGCAGCAGAGTCGATGTTGCCGCAACGATCATGGCAGCTACAGCTCGAAAAGCCGCAGCGACGTTGATTTCTTATGCTATAGTATGGTGTCTTAGAGTGTGACTCCTATCCAGCACAACACAAGAGAGATTGGCACACTTGTTTGCTTCCAGCTAGGCCATGGCTCATGGAAGCACATGCTCAATTGTTCTGCGGTTCAGAAGGCTGAAGTAAGGCTTCTTGCGGGTCCGGCGACCGCAATTCGGAACCCGATGTGACCAGACAAAACGTCCAAAGTCAATGAAGTCAGTGTGATATCTTCTGGGTCCCCTCCCTGCCTCAATGCGCTCATCCAGCGCTGTGCCTGCATGCTGGTTGTTGCAACGCATCCTGTTCCTTAGCGGCTCTGAGCCTTTAAGCATTGCTCTGACGTGCTTGATGCATGCCCTGTCCCTCCTTTGTGGTTGCTTGTAAAGCTATGTCGCGTTTCGCTACGAAAGAGTGCTCCGAACGCGATGGGGTCAACAGTACGGCAATCCATGGAATGCTACATCTTCAACAGCCGATCGCCCCATTGACCTCAACAAAGTTAGAGCTGAGTGAGAAGGGAATTTGAGGGGAAAACGGAAAATCCAATTTCCCGCGTAGTCTTTGCGACTTTGTCCTCAGACTACGCTGCCGGAAAACAGAATATTCCTCTACGCACTTTGCTGCTGATCGGTCCATCGGGAGAAGCTATAGCAATACGTGGTCAAATGAAGGCTGGTTTGCAGAATTTCGCTGGAGTGATCAGCCCAGCATACATCGTGGAAACGGTCACACAAGGCTTTCCTCGGCACTGTATCTCCTCACGCCTTCGCATCCTAGGGAGTCTTAAGCGATGTCGGCTCCAAGGGCCCACTGTGGCTCCTGGGAGTATATTGGGATTATATAGAAACATAGTACCCCTGGGTGTATATTGGGAGTATATAGGGACCCCTAAACCATAAACACTGCGTCCAAGGAGGAGAGACTGGGCCAAGCTGGCGTGGTGATTGCGGGGCTTGAAAACTGGCAGTGGCACTCGGCCCGAAATGGCCTGGCAATATGTCCTAGCAGCTTGGCGTTCGATGGCAGGCGCTGCCGGAGCCCTTGATTGTTTGACTATTCAAGCCGCTGCCACTGGGCCTTTAAACAGTGCCTCTGTGCGATGGGTCCATCCAAGTCCCAGGGGCATGGGCTTCGGACACCACAGACAGCCCGAAACTGAAGGGCACGCCTGACAACGTCATCACGCAAGGTCGCGGTGAGAAGGATGTCCACGGTAAAGCTGCTTGTATAGAATGCCTTGGATTCTTGGATCGGCTCGTGATAAGAAGGAGACTAAGTCGCACCACAACGCTCGCGGGATGATCCCAATCTTCGGCAAGAGGAGGCTTGAGAAAACATCACTGGGTTCTGTTCTATCATCTTTCTATCTTCCCCACTGACGGTTTTCGGGGGGCTCACGTCGCTCGGGTGTCTCCGTGTATTTCTGCTTTCTGCCACAGAAACCCTGCCTCGAAATGTTCTTGTTGTTGTTGCTATCTCGCTCTCTCTCCCGTCGCATCTCTTCCTTCTTCTGTTACGGCTGCAGCTGAAATTTTGTTCTTCAGCTTTCCGATTTCTTCGTGAACTGCATCCCAACCTTCGCCAAAACCCTGAACCCTAAACCGTTGTGGAGACCAGCCCCTCCTCCCGGGAAGGTGCTGTCGGACCTTCGGATTGGCATTCTCGAGGGTGCTCGGTAGGGACGGAACGAGCCCATCTTCTGCTTGTTAGGTTAGGGCTGAGGGTTTTTTGTTTGCAAGGTTTAGGGTTTGTGGGTTTCTCCATCTGATGCCCCAAATGTAGCACCCTCAAGTGCTGGCAGTAGGGCGCGGCAGCACGGTCTCGACAGCAGCAGCAACAGCAGGCAGCAGCAGTGGCGGTGCTCGTCGCTATCATTGTGTATGCAGCCGCAGTCATCGTCGCCACCACCGGCCCACATCGGTGTGGTCGTCGTAGCATGTAGCAACAGACATCATAGCAGTGGAAGCAGGGGTCGTCGCCTTCACTTTCGTCGGCGTAGTCGTCTTCGTACCAAGCACTGGTACCGCTATTGGTCACAACAATGCACAACATAATGCAACCACGCTTTTCTGTAGAGCAGCAACAGAAGCAGGCAGGCCGGGTTCCACTGGTGTGGCTGAACGCAGTTGTCTGGGATACTTTCTCGATCAGGGGCTCCTTCCCTCCGTTCCACGGCACGAGAAGATTCGGTGAAACAGGCGTGCTCATCTAGGAACTCTTCGCCTAAAGCGGCAGCAACCTTCCCTGTGATGTCCTCTTGTTTCTACATTTGTAAGTAGACATGCCATCTTCATAAGGTTGCATTTAGTTGCTCTTCGGGCCCGTGACTTAAAGCCAGTACTGAGACTGCGGATTCAGAGTACATCTGTAGAAGAGTCTGTACCCGTTCTTCGAGAGACAAAGGACAAAAGCTGCGTCAGGTTCTCAGGCATCCTGCAGGGAAGGCACCGCCAAATCTGCAAAGAATGAGCGCACAGCACAACTGGAACTCACTGCAACTGCCACGTCCAAGCATGCAGAGCTTACGCAACTCCGCAGCTGGATCTCCGACTCAACGGCACGTTGCACAAAGTACGGCTGATCTGGGATAACAGTGGGGCCGGCTATGGGTCCTGAATAGAGTATCAGCTTGCTTGCACTGACTCTTCATGTCCCATTGACCAGACCAACTTCAAACACTCCATGCAAGACCTTTCAAACCTATATTAATTAAAGCGGGGGTTTGGGCCATCGAGTTGGATTCGCACTCTCTAGGCTTGTGATGTTCACATACTCTTGGGAAGAAGCCCAAGAAAGCAAGAACCCCAAACCGACAACCTAGGCATTGCATGTAGTCGCCGGGTGCCGGGTGGCAATGCAAATGATGTCGGCTCGGCTCTGTAGCCAGCTCGCCGCTGCGTAGAAACCACGCTATGGCTAGGTTGGCCCTTTAAAGCCTCTGAAAAACATTCGCAAATAGGGTCCTATATTAAGCCCAATAAGGGAACATATAAAATGTACCAAAGGCCTACCTAGAAAGACTCAAGTCTTCCTCTTCGGCTCCTCGACTACTCATTGCTTGATTTCTACAGCACAGAGGAATGTTTCTGGCAGCGGCAAGCACAACTCCTCCTACTTGGCCCCCGGATCGCGCTGCCTCAAGGGTTCATGGCAGCTCTATCTGCTTTGGCTGTAATCAACCAGCAGGCTCCGAGGGTTCCGGTGCGGGTGAAAATCTCCAAAACTTGGGCATTCGGCCTCCTCTGGGCGCAAGACTCCAGGAGACACAGGGAACGAATGGCAGCAGAGCAGTCGCGCCCAATGGCTAAGCGAGCCAGAGAAGTGCGGTGCCACTCGCTGCCATGTCGCCCAAGTCAGCCTTCGACCTCATCAGGCTACTTAAAGGATCATGGGACTTAGTAACTGGGGTTATAATTAGGGTAACTGTACTTATAGCTACTTATAACCCCAATTAAGGTACCTATAACCTGACTTACTAAGTCCCATGATCCTCCAAGTATGGCAGGTATCAATTGCATGTGCCTGAGTAACAATGAGCTGACGACTGCCTAGAGGACGGCGATGAGACATCAACTGCACATGTCCATCTCTATACCATTAAATACCATATACCCTTCTAAAGCTCTATATAATACTCTATATGTGTATATATATATATATATATAACATTCTACAGCTTATACCGTCTATACCTTTCTATACCCAGAACTCAGAGACCTGTTTTTGGGGGTGGGGGCTCGCAGACGGTCCTGAGAACCCCGCAAGTTCGATCGAGGAGTCCTGTTCCGCCCAAATGAGGGTGAGGGCTTTACAGGGACTTGGAGGGTTTTAAGCGGATTTATAGAGTTATATAGCGCTTTAGGGCTTTCGGGCTTAAGGGTTTGGGGGGATTACCGTTCAAAGCTTTAAGGTTTTCAGGGTTTTGGAATTTGTTTGGGATTGAACTTGGGATCTGGCCAATGAGGTTTGCTTTCACGCCCCTTCAGAATCCAGTCGTACTGCCTAAATTGCAGAAAGAAATCGACCGACATGAGCAAAAGAAGCTGAACCTTGTTCAATGGGTCGACAGACACGGCTTCTTGTACTTCGTGGTGCTGGGTGACGCTGCTCAGAAATGAGGTGGATGGGATTTCGCATAAGATGAGATCTGAACGTTGCGGTATGCGAACCGGGACCTTTGAGTAAACCCTTCGCCAGAATCTCAGAGCTGAGGAGCAGGTCTCACGCATACCGACCCTTAAGCTACATGACTTCTGTTCACAGCTCGGACAATTGAGGCGAGGCGAATGTCGTTAGGTCGGTACCATGATTTGGGGAACTTGGACAACACTGGTTGTTCCGCTGACCCTAAAATGCTATCCTGGCCTCAGACGCGCGCTGACGGCGCAGCGTAACTGTGAGGTCCTTCAGTTCAGTGGCAAGACAACATACGGATACCTCTTCCTTGGGCCTGATGACTACAGTGACTACAGAATCCGTTGACTGCTGAAGGATTGTCGTTTGGGAGTCTTGGAGTGCTGTACAGTCACGGGTTTGGGTGCCCTAGCGTTGGCATGCCAAAGAAGCCTGCTTGAGTTGTTGCAGAAGGGCCCAAGAAGATGCAATGTCAGGCGCCGTCCTACCTTAAGGTTTCATGAGAAGCAAGCCCCATGAAAACAAGTACTGTGAAGTCTTCATTCAATGCTTTGGAACAGCCCGGAACTGAAGAGAGCCCTATGTATCTTTATGGCATATGTACATGTCCTATTCAGGCATATCTATGCGCAAATAAGTATGTGTACTTGTATATGCATTCACACACCGACATATATACAGTTATATATATATATGAATATATATATATATTTATATATATATATATACATATATATATATACATATATATATATATACATATATATATACATATATATATATATATATATATATATGTAAAGGTATACTCGTACGTACATACAGACATAAAGAGTAAATACAAGTGTATGAATATTTGTATATATATATATACACACACATAGGTTTGTTTATAGATGCCTGCCTGCCTGCCCACCTACCTACCTGCATACATACAAGCGCTCTATAGATGTTTGTGCACTTGTTCGTTCAGCTGTCCGCCTATTTATCGCTACACAGTAACCAACGGAACTTAGGAAGTCGATGAGGAGAACGACACTCGGTTTCAGTCGCCTGCTCGAGCCGAGGGAAGTCGAACCTCAGGCAGCATCCTATATATGTGATATACATGTGTATATATATAGATAGATAGATAGATAGATAGACAGAGCTGTGTAGATGTGTATATATATATGTGTGTGTATGTATGTATGTACATATATGTATATATATATATATATGTTATTTTCCGTTTTTGCTCTACTCTTATCTCTGTGGGGGTCATCAGGATGCCTCTGGCTCACAGTTTCGGGGTTTTGTTGCTGCTGATCAAATGCATGGCTTCTTAGCTGATTTAAAGGAAGAACCAACACTTTTACCCCTGCTGCTGCTGTTGTGGTGTCCCTGTTGGGCTTTTATTGTCACTGTCACTTTTGCTCCGATTGTGACTTCACTGTAGACTACACAGCTTCTCTCATGTTATCATCTCCTGCATTGCGCCTGTTCTTGCATATCCTAGTTTCAGGCTGCCGTGCGCTACATTACTTTCTACACAAGTCACTCTGTATCACCACTTAATATCTACGACTCACTATCTGCTATTACGGCGTCTGTCGTAGTTTGCAGCTGCACGCGACTCCGACCAGAGTCCCAGTCTGGACAATCTCATCTAACACAAAGTGTTGTTTGCATATATATATATATATATATATATTATTATATATATATATATAAGCATATGTATATACATATACTATTACACATAGACTTAAGCACCTAAATACATCTATGCATACATCTGAACAACTGAACTTTTGTGTCAGTATGTAAATCTGATCATTATACATATATATATATATACACATAAACATATACATATGTATATATATATGCATATGTATTGCTGTTATGGGCGGTTGTGCCTTCTTGCTTTCTCATCAAGCCCGACTGCGTAAAATCTAGGAAAGGGTCCGTGCCCAACAGCTGCAACTGGGTTTACGACTTTGCTTTGCTGCTGGCTCGGTATGCAGCAAGGGTAAGAGCCGCGCGAATGCCAGAATTGCTTGATGGAGGATATGCAGTACACACCTCGGCTGGAATTCTACGCCGCATTCGCAGACCCCGGAGAGGACCCTGGTGTGTGTGTGTGTGTGTGTGTGTGTGTGTGTGTGTGTGTGTGTGTGCGTGCAACCCAGCGCATGCGATGCTTGAACATTGCTTGGTCCGCGAGAGCATGATGCAGTCAAGGCGGGCACTGTCCACATGGTGCAGGATTGACAAGTCCTCCTTCACGTTTATGAGGGTGTCGCGAACAATCTCCCTTCCTTGGCATGGCACGCACCACTGAGAACTGCCTAGCCGACTATTGCAAGCGCGAAGCAGATCAGACGAACGAGCCGTAGTTCTAATGACAATGGTCAACTTGTCAGCACTAATTAATTAACATCCTCCTCCTGGTAGCTGTGGGATGGTCCCTGAGAGTATTCCGCAAGTTGTCTAAGTTACTCCATTGGCCCTTCCAAGCTGCGTTCGTCATCCTCTATCTGGTCTCCAAAGCCTGTCAAGACTTCGCTCTCAAGCGACCTTGCAACTTCGGTGCTCGGGGTGCCGAAGCTGCCGGTCCAGGATGAGGGCACGATTTTACAAAGGGGTCCACAACAGATTTGTCCTGTTGTGTTCAATGTTTGTGTAAGTCAACAAGGGACTACTCAAAGGGATGTTGTCATGAGGGATGCTATATGATACTAATTAATACTAACCATGTCCTCCCGTATGATAAGCAGCGCACAGGGTATGTTTGCGGGAGTTGCTGAGAGGATTTGGTGCCTCGGTTGTCCAAGACGTCCTGCTCGGCATCCAGTTCTCTCTCAACATCCAGATCCTTAAAAGACCGGGACGGGAACCGACTCTTGTGAACAAACGAGCAGCAAGCAAATAAGCAATCAACTACCACGCACACAAACACACGAAAAAAACATCTTCAAAGTAGAGGCCGTGCAAAAAAAGCACTGCCCACTGTCTCAGAGCGTCAATTTTATTCCGCACCATGAAAAACGGCACGTTCCAGTGGCGGAGGTCGTCCAACAGGAGGAGCTCGGCCTCTGTAAATCCTGGGCGTCTGGGGGAAGCCACGGGCAGGCGTTGTCAAGAAATACAACAACATCCAAAACAGTTAGGGTCCTTAATCAGCAAAATGTGGTTTGGGGGTGTAAAAATCGTATGTTCTCCTTGTAATGAGGAGGCGTCAGGAATATTTCGCCCAAGAAGACATGCCAAGCTTCTCTGGTCGGTGATGAGAACTACGACATCGAAGTGGCGGATTCCCAGCTTTTGCAGGTACTTCCTTTCGCTGAACCAACGGGGCATGAAAAAGCAGGCCTTTGTAATTAGACTGAGGGTCCTTTAGAGGGTTCCTTAAACGGGTCTATAAGGAATCTATAGTATGGTTCTATAATATAGGGGCCTTAATAGTGACTAGAATAGGGTTTTAGGGCCCATCATACCTATACTCGTAAAAAGGAACACGCAAAATAGTAGAGGTAATTATTAAAGCCCCTATGGTAGGCAACACAGCCAACGAAGAATCACTGTGCGACCACCCTGAGCCTTACGTCAGCCCAGAGCAGAGACGACTGAGAACTCAAGGTCGTTTGTTCGGCGCTGCGAAGAGATGGGGGTTTCCGAAAATAGGGGACCCTAATATAGTACCCTAAATAGAAGGGTTCTTATTATCAGGACCCCAAAATAAGGTACCCCGAATTTTCGGAAACTCCCAGATAGTGAAGGAGGTCGACTCTATGAGGCACACTGGTGGGATAAACCTTAGCCTAACACAATGGAATCGGGTCGAAATCAGCCAGGCTACTCTGGTGGATATCCGGCAGTCCCTACGCCTGGCAGGTCCTTGGATGCAGAGGGGACACGGCATAAGACTGGCACGCGCGCGCAGAGTACAATTCAAGGTCCTGATGCATGTTATGAACATCACCGTCGCTGCATCGGTGCAGCCGTCTCCATGCATGCACTTTACGACAATGGTCGAAACATCTCGAAAAACAACTCATGCTTGCGTGAATGAGTTTTTGGGAGCTCAAGGCCCTAGGAACATCTCCGGCATGTCTTTGGTCGGCATGTTTTGGACACCGTGACGCCTCTTGTCTAGCGGCGGAATCCGAAACAAGCTTTGTTGCTCGGACCCCGAAGCTCTAAGCTGTAAGTGTGAAACAGCCTCGCATGAAGCTATGAACGTCCGCGATCGCGGCTCAGTGAGCGTCGTCGGATAGGCCCTTGAATGTGGCGAGACCTCAGATAGACCCTGATAGACTCCAAGGGCAGAGATCATCTGAACTGCGGCTTTCTGTTGAGCTCCGTCGAGTCGCTGGGGCCGCTATTCGCACATTCGGAGAAGAGGCTGGCGCAAACCTGCAGAAACACTCAGAGCGTGCGCAAGCAATCGAACAGGGATGCTGATCCGATACTGCGTTTTTACAGATCTTTCCGGCCATCAGCACGCCAGCCAAGCCGAACAAGAAGGTGACACCCAGCCTCGGACATGGACAAGCATCTGCTGAGCCCCACTCCCAAACTAAACCGCATTGATTCAGCATGCCAATGCTCTACAGATTATAGTATAGATCAGACCCTAAAGCATACTTTCAACGACAAGGAGCGTCCTTGCCAGGTTCAGGAGGCCAGGGAGCACTAAGAAGCCGATGCCGGCGTAGATCAGGTGTGCTGGCTGCCTCGTGGCACGGTGGACAATGCGTGATATATGCTTGCTAAGGGTTTATATGGTCAAAAATGCTATGGACCCTTCGGAAGGCCCGATTTTTGTAAGCATTTGATGATTCTCTGTGGTCTCCTGTCATGACACGAAACGCAAGGTGGCAACAAAGCAAATGAGAACAGGAGCGCCCTGCCTTCTCAGAATGCTTCTGGCCTGCCAACCTCACCGAGAATTCAACCGACATGGAGAGATTTTTGGCACTCGCTCTCGGCAGGCAGGCGAGGTTTGAGGATCAACTGGGCGACATGGAGAGATACACAGGAAGGGAGACAGGGGATACCAAACTTTGTCAGCTTGCACGTGTCAATGACTCAGGCCGGTGCAGGACAGTGCCAGCGCAAGCAACGTCAGGCCAGCGAAAATTGCTGCCAGGATCCACCTTACGACTTTTGAACGTGCCAGCCGGAGCCGGCGAGAGAAATCCTGTTTCCTGCCACTCATACTGATGATACTAACAATACTAATACAATGATAATATCACGAACAAAAATTGTAAACATATTCGCAACAGTAATCAGAATCTCGAAGAACACAATTCTTAATAAACTGCATAGCCAAGCCACGCCCAGCTCTCGTTTCGGATCTCGTGATGCGAGCCAAACATGGAAGAAACTGTGGTCTGCGCCAGAGATCTGCGTAGTCGGGTAGGGTAGAAAGCCGAATGCCACTGTCTTTCTGGGTTCAAGGGTTCCGGTGCCTCGCGCGCTGCATATGCCATGTCGAATCTGCAGTTACAGCCGAAGCTTGAGACTGAAAGGGCTCGCGGAAGGATGTTGCTCCAAAGCTAGTAAATGTCATTCGGCACCAAACTCAGTCAGGAGTGTACAACAGGGCTATCTTTGTTCTCGACTCTTGCTGGACAAGCTGCCCAGATCACACACGGCTTCTGCGTCCTTGGTTCAAGCAAGACTTGGTGGTGAGCAGCAGCAGTGCCTCAATGATCCATAATGCCATAATCATAATCTCCGGCAGCCGGACATGCCAAGTCTCTGCACAGGAAACTTGTACATCATGGGCTCCTGAGCCAGAACAGATCACGGATGGTGCTTGAAGTGCCCCCCCCCCACCCACGGTTACGACACGTACTGCAAGCACGACTGCCATGATTTCGGGCATGTGAAGATCGAAGCAAGCCAGCTTATTACTATTATTATTATTATTCTTATTCTTATTCTTCTTATTATTATCATTATTAATATTATTACTATTATTATCACTATCACTATTATTACTATTATGTGGCTGTGCATGCAAAGCGGCCATGGTAGGACCATCCACGCAGATCTCTGCGTAATCTGGGTCGTTCGGAGACGAGACACGTCTCACGGCATTGACCCACGAGGACTTGCCCACACCTGGTTTAGGGTTTAGGGGTTTAGGGTTTAGGGTTTAGGGTTTAGGGGTTTAGGGTTTAGGGCACAATCATCCAAGCTGGCGCAAACTGAGATTGTAACTTTTTCGTCGCTGCCGATGTCTTCAGTATTATGAGGCTCATCAGTACCATGGCATCCTCTGTACGACCACTGCCACGAAATATCATCGCCATGATCATTCACGACAACCATCCCCATCACGGCTGACAGCAAAGCTAAAAGCAGTGGCCTGACAAGAGCTTTCCGGATCCCTCAACAATCAAGGGCGCCTGGATAGCCGGTGACACCAATCATAATTGCACCCTGCTCTTGCGCCGGTGCAAGATACTCTGGAACCTCAGCTGCCGGGAGAGTCGACTGAAATCTTGCGTGGTCCTTAACGACTTCTTCCATGGGACTTGAGGCTCGAATGTCTGGGAGTGCTTTACGTAGATGTGACGAGGGCTTGGCATTCAGTGCCGATGGATGAAACTCGTCTCGAGTCTAGGGGCCGGTTCATGATGACCTCCGACTGGCGGGAGGTGTTAGTTAGTCTTCACAGCTTCCTTTCTGTTTTCTCTCTGCCCTGCCATCATCGCTGATTTTTATTCACATCCTGAATTGTTTCTGTCTTGCCAAGAAGCCCAGTGCCACTAGGACTTAAACAAGTCTTCGGATGAACCGCACCATCGCCGCAGGGACAATCCAAGCTGGTGTGGGGCTTTGGGATCGACGAGGGATTCCGGTATCGGGTGTCCACGCATTCTTCTGTTCAGGGACCGTAGGAATCAGTCCATGGTACTGCCCTTTGCACTCACGGTGCGCTGAACTCGAGACCCTACTAGTAAGGCCAAACTCCTCATCCACAAAGCCCCGAAGCCCTAAACCTTCAACCCTATAAGCCTCGTTCAGCTCCGCAGGAGGCATAACAAAGCCCTACAGTAAACCCCAAACCGAATCAGCCCAGGGCACGGGGTAGGCGAGAAGATCTGCCTGAGCATCCCGCAGCTCCTCGCTTGCTCTTATAAGTTTGTCGCAAGGATCCTACTGAATCCTACTACTACTACTACTACTACTGCTGCTGCTACTACTACTACTACTACTACTACTGCTACTGCTACTGCTACTGCTACTGCTACTGCTACTGCTACTGCTACTGCTACTGCTACTGCTACTACTACTGCTGCTGCTACTGCTACGACTACTATAGGGTTTCTTTCTATTTGGCTCCCTGTATTGATTCGAAACTGCCATGTCTCATGGGTATTCATATATGCGCGCTCTTTTCAGGCGACGCGAGGTATTCATGCATGCGTCGGCTGCAAGTTGAATTCTATTCGTTTGTCGTGTAGCACTTGCTTAGCAACCTCGGCATGCGATCTCCGGTGTGCGGGGTCTCGCTGAGACATTTGCAGCTTTAAGGCTCCTCACCATGAATGATAATCTATCGGAGGCAGTCAGCATGCTTACAGCTGGAAGTCGGCATACCGTCTTATCCGCCGTGCGATGGCCTGGTCTCTTCCGTACCTTCCGTCAGCCGCTACCTGCTTCAGTATGCATAGTTCTGCCTGACTGCGACCGACTGAGCTCTGACGGCATTTATTCCGATGATCTCCCCTCAGACAAGTGATGCATGCTTCTTCGGGGCACCTTGGCAACATTTGACGAAACAAAAGCAGAAACTGGACAATAACTTCGACTCGTGTGCTGGATGTGCTTTACCTTGAGGGAAAGGCTTCTGGCATTAATCGAGGGGATGTGAAGAGAGAGCGCGAGAGAGAGAGAGAGAGAGAGACCGGGAGACAGAGAGAGAGGGAGAGAGAGAGAGAGAGAGAGAGAGCGGGAGAGAGAGATGTCTCATAATGACCACTCGCGATGGCGATGATGATCGTGATCCTTTCCCCCGGTCCTTGTTGGCATTTCGCAGTGCATTGACTGCTCCCTGTCAGGGCTGGAATCACTTCCGGTGTCAGGGCTGGCAAAGTCTGGAGGGCGTGCTGATGGTTTCTGTTCTGTATGCTGGCGGCCATCTAGTCATCCGCGCTGCACCATTGCCAGAAAGCCAAAAGCCTACTCTACGATTTTCTGGAATCAAAACACAGGATAGCCCCATGATCTACAACACAAAGCAGCCAAAAGAAGTTCAGAAAGAACAAGCTTGAACAAGCTCATGCAAGTGTCGGCAATGGCAGATTCACCCCGAGCCTGCAGCGCAACCAAGCTTAATGTATGCCATTCTGCTATTGGCAGCAGCAGGAGCACTGGCCGCAAAGGCAACAAGACAACAAGACATATTCAGAGGGACAGAACAAGATCAAAACGAGTAACACTAGGCGCGACCACGAACAAACTGCGCCTTTGATAAAGCGTGCTTGAAACTCTGACAGCTCTCTCGGGTGGCAGAGATGACTGAAGCCACGGAACCGCTCCCTAAACTTCCACAACTCTATACCATACCTAAGCCTAAAGCCTAAGCCGTTCCTATCCGAACAACAAATTGCCAGTTTGCCTCGAGCCGTCTGCGGGCGCAGGAGACGATCTCCTCAGGAACTCCAGCGCTAAACATCCGTCGTTCTCACTCGCGTTTTCTTTCCGAAGCCTTCTGCAAGGTTCTAGCGGGCACGAGGATCACGCTCTTTCGCTCTCTCTTTCGATCTCTCTCTCTCTCTCTCTCTCTCTCTCTCAATCTCTCTCTCTCTCTCTCTCTCTCTCTCAATCTCTCTCTCTCTCTCTCTCTCTCTCTTCTCCCGCCGGGCATGACGGGGTGTTAAGACCCCTCGGCCACTAGGGCCCCCCCATATTTTGTGGGGACTTTGGAGGAGTGTGAAAGTGTTTTGTAGTTGGTTTCCCCCGGGTAGATCATCGTTTCACCATCCATTTTTATTACAGCCTACCCATGAATATAATTAAGTAGTGCAACGTTGTGTGATCCCCCAGGTACCTCTGACTACACTCTCTCTCTCTCTCTCTCTCCTCTCTCTTGCTTTCGCCAGGGATATGGTGTAGGGGCTTCTCTCTCTCTCTCTCTCTCTCTCTCTCCCCCTCTCCTGTCTAGAGACGTCTCTAACATACATGCATACATACATATATACATACATGCATATATACATACACGCATCCGCACATCCATCCATGCATGCATACTTATAAAGCATGCATGACTGCATACACAGTACAGATAGACAAACATGCATTCAAACGTACGTTAATCCATCTCGCTGTGTATCCAACCACCGGCATTACACACTTCATCCGTGAGTTTCTTTGTGTACACATATGCGTGCATAGAAGCGGGCTAACCGCGATTATCCGTGATTTGGAAATCTACACTTGGCTTAGACTTTCCGGGTCTCTCGCAGCAACCGAATGTCTGGGCCAGCGGTCTCGAGGCGACAGAATATAACTGGTAAAATACAACTGTATGGTACGGTATGTAGAATATTAGGAAATGAAACATAATCGAATCTACTGACACATGGACTTGGGCCAGTTCCTTCCACCAGACTTTCCCTGAATAAATGGACAAGGCAGGCTGCTGGCGCCGAGCGGTTGAGGACGACGCCAGTAGATTCCTGATGTGCTAGCAGTACTTACCTTTGGTTAGTAGGGAATGGAGGAATGGGGTACAATTATAACTACTATTACTACCATTCTTCCATTCCCTACTAACCAAAGGTAAGAGTAGAGATCGGTGTTTCTGTAGGGCTGTCCTCCAAGGCTTTGGGCCTTTAGTGCTTGACGTTTTGTCAGAAATTCCGAGGGTGTTATCGAATCTGCAGCCGGTGTGCGCTCTAGGTATCGGATGCAACGTGGAAATTCCACAACACTCATGTTGGCACCACGCATCTGCGTGCAGTGAGCAGTATGCCTGCGCACAGCTGTGCCGGGGTGCGGAACTGCTGCATGATTTCGACAACGTGAACCATGTCCACTTATACTTCTTCATAGCGCCGTGAAGAAGTAGAACCAATAGCCCCGTCAACGCCCTTTCTCTCCACGGCAGTCAATGAAGGGCTGACGTATCTGTAACAGTGTAACAATCGCAGACACTGAAACAGTTCGACCAGCCACTCTCGTGTTGACGAAGAACTGCGATGCTCGTTTGAACATCTTCCTCGCCTCCGCAGCCTCGACAAAGGCAAGACACAGCGTGCAAAAGTGTGGCCGGAAATATTAATGCAATGGTTTGGGATTCAGGAACGGCAGTGGCAGGAGCAGGTGCAGCTCTTCCTCCCACCATCAACAGCTTTACTACATGGTGATATAGTGCTATCGGTACTGCCGCTCCTACTCCGGCGATTGGTGCTCGTAAGAGCATATGTCACCACGCAAGCGAATGCTACGACTGCAAAGACAAACGATTGCTGCCGCTACTGTGCCCACTGTCGTGGCCGACACTACGGATGAAATGCCTTTCCGGCTCTGGTGCCTACCATCTCGGAACAAACTCGACTCCATCGCAAGAATGGGACCCTACAAGCCGGAACGGGGAAAGGAAAAGGCCTCTGACTCGGCGCGCTTTTGTCGTCTGAGAAGAGCCTGGCGACCAAAGCAAATGCTGACCCTCCCACTACCACAGCTTGTCCCTAAACCCTCTCCCATGCGTGTTAAGGACCCTGAACCCTGAACCACCAACCCTGTGCTTCCACACTTGGTTCCAAGGTACCTGGGTAGGTCCTGGCGCACTTTTCGGCCGCCTGGTCCTGCAGAAAATTGCGCAATGCAATTCTTATAAGTAGAGATATGAGGGGAACTATACATCTAACCCATATTAGGGGACTTATATAACCCATTTATACATATCAGTATAACCCATGATCCTATGTTCAGACTGTGAGCACGGGTCCAGTTGAAGAAGTTGGCCAGCCAGTGGGCCACGCCACCGACAATCCTCGGCCATGTGAAACCCGCGACTGCTCCAATGCGGTCTGAGGTGTGTGCAGCCGTCAGTGCTGGCCGAGATCACTGCTTCCAATTCTACTTTCCCTGTGCCGCCAAGTTGCGCAAACTTCACCTTGCATCACAAATCACATCACGCACCGTTGCCAATCATGCAAACAAATAGAAAAGGTTTGTCGGCACGAGAATAACACAGCGGTATCACGGGAATAGTTTTCATGACCAATCACAAGCCGCTCAACCCCAAACGGTACGCTGATCAAAAGCCAAGCCCCAACATGCCTGAAGTTGTCGGGTCTTCTACGGCATTCCGCCACTTGAAGGCCCCAAGAATTAGAACAGGGCGTACCCTGTACCATAGACCCCTCAGGCTTACTATTACTATTAAACCTCGCACCGACTCTTCCATTACATGACACGCCCGTAAGAGAACCCAAAGGGTCCAAGTATCATTATGGTAAGATACCCTATAAGTATATACTATAATGATACTTGGACCCTTTGGGGAACCGAGATCCTCTTGAAGGCGCAGGCAAGGCACGAAGGAGAACCCGGACATCCCCTGGCGCACACGGGTTCAGCTTTTCGAGGAGGTCTCGGGGGAGGATTGGTACCCTATGCTCTTTAGGGCTTTGGGTTGATGAGATTCAAAGGGTCAGAGTTTTCGGTTTTTGGGGTGGGTTTAAGTCTTGCAGGGCTTGTCATGCTTGTAGGGGTGTAAGCCCGAAAAGTGAAAGCTTGTCGAGGTCTTGCAGGGGATAGACCAGACATGAAGGGCTTCCACGGGTCTAGGTTCGGCTCCCAATGTTTTCTCAAGAGGATTCTGTGAAACGAGACACGGTTGACATGTTAGCGCCGCCGGCTATGCATTGGCAGAGCCAGGCAAGCAGGAACATCATCATCCTTGAGTGAGCCCCGCCTTTCGTGGTTCACCCGCTCATTGTAATGTATTACTTCGCGAAAGGATCATTACACTCCTTGTAGCAGGGCTCTTCAGTTATATTATACTGTACTATATTTTTATACATTATTACATTATAGTATAAGGTTCTCTACGGAATAGGAGGCAAAGGCCCTAGAGTCGCAGCAAACAGAAGGAATGGCCAGAGCCAAAGATAGCGTCACTAAGCAACAGGCGCACATCCACCGACCCTATATGTACATGGATAATATGTATATATATATATATATATATACATAACAAGGCAGAGGATCCCAATTATGTTCAACAACATCTGGGAGTTTCCGAAAATTAGAAACACTTCATCTTGAGGTCCTTATAATAAGGATCCTACTTGCTAGGGCACCATCTTAGGATCCCCTATTTTCGGAAACTCCCATCTTGATACCTTCAACCTGTCAGTCGGTTCGGAGAATGAGTGCCCAACTGTACCCCAACACGAAGTCCAAACTGTCTAAGTCCCTGCAAGATGCAAAGTAGCCCACAAGCGAGATATTCGCACAACAGTGCTGGGAACCGAAGCTAACGACATGACAATCCCGACCATAGGAGTTTGTAGGCTCGAAATTGCAGCCTCAACATCACTCGATGCCCTTGTTACCCGACAGCAAGTCCGAGGGATGAATGTGCCACACTTGCAAGAAAGAGCTAATCCTGTCCCCCGAATATTAAATGCCCCCCCCCCCCCCCAATAGAAACTCAAAAAGTGTTTGATTCTTAGGGTGGAGTTTTATCTCTAGTACCACTTTTGAGTTTGAGGGGTCGTGCTCTTGCTCCTGCTTTGGCTCTTGCTCCCGCGCTGGCTTTTGCTCCTGCCCGAGCTCTTACTCCCTCTCTTGATTTGCTCTGCTGTTGCCGCTGACTTGGTGATGCTCCAGCTTTTAATTGCTCTTGCTCCCCCCAATTCAGAATAGGTTTTAAAGGGCAGGAATGATATCCGAAGGATTCGCCCCAATGTGTTTTATTTCTTGGGGGGGTGTTTAATGAAAGGGGGAAGTGATTAAATTATCTGTCAGCAGAACCTGATAGGCTGCCATTACACGTGCCCTCCGGCCCTTTTCCTCCCCCTGCGCCTGGCGCGCGCTGTGCCGAAGCTCGCGTCCGGGCGCCCGGCGGGGCGGCGCAAACCAGGCGCCATGGTTGGGGTAGCTCCTGCAACAAGCACACGGATGATAACAACAAGAACTCTCTCTCTATATATATATATATATATATATAAAGGCCACTGAATCATTGAGTGTACATAAAAGTGAGAAATACGAGGTAATTACAAGTGATCATCGCAGCCATACTAACTAGCTCTGGAGCATAGATGACAGCAACTACGACTACCAGCCGTGCAGACGTGCATATCTCAATTGCTGTTCTTTTTCTGAGTTTTTTGAAACTTTACAGGCTCGACGAATGCGCGTGAGAGCTCATGGTCACTGAGTGGTATGCTTGTAGGGCCTTGGAACCGAACAAGGCTTACAGGGATTAATGCTACAACTACGGAGATATTGGAAATCATTCAGGCTTCTAGAATTTTCGACAATAAACGCACGTGTTATAAGGCAAGTCAAGCCCTTGCAAAAAAACAATATTTTTTGCATCGAGGATGTTGCGCATTCCCTTCCTGGCGATAACATCGTCAATCATCCCTTCCACTCTGGTGGCCTAGCTCCCGGCAGCCTGATCTCCGAATCGTGAAGCCTTTCCAGACTTTGAAATACTTGAACTTCTACATCGCGAGGACTTCGTGTCTTTGGGCGGCTCAACGAACTGCTGAACAATCTCAAGCGGGCCGTGTGGCTACCGGCTCCACAATGCTATGATACATGGTGCTCTACGGATCCCTAGGGCTTCGTGGTTGCTTCTGGCTCTTTTTCCTCTGACTCCGGCCGACTGGAAAGCCAAAAGAAGGCCGATCAAGTCGAAGCTCCGAACAGATGCCAACTCGATGGAAGGCTTTTCTTGGTGCCATGATAAGTAGAATAGGCTTCTGGGGGGTATCATAGGTTTGTTCGAACGGACGACAAGGGGGCGTTAGCCCGATATTTTAAGCTCTTCAAAACTTTACAATGCATTGAGCGGGGGCCTTCACAACTAGGATGGGGTTTTGGGGACTATAGTATATAGATCTAACAAGGAGTCCTAACACATTTGATTCGTAACCATTCAGGCTTCTTTATTCATAAATGCCATTCTCCGGAGTTGGCAGTTGTCCGATAAACCGATGCATATGCCATGAAGGCTATAGCTGCTACAGGAGCCCGCCAATAATCTGCAGGTTATCTCCTTGCTGCTACTTGGGCTCGGCCCGAGTGTCTGCTGCCTCCTCTCCCACAAGACTGAAGACCTTTACAAGCGGACTGCGCCTGGCTTTGCAAGCTCGGCATTGAGCCACTTCTCACTAGTCGCCCGTCCGATCCACATCATCCAAAACCGCCATGAAGCCAACAACCCAGTTCGGAAGAAGTGGCAAATCCTCCGAGATACGCACCGTCCAGTTTGACAACAGGTACCCGGGAAGCCAGGATCGGAAATGCTGCTCTGCATGAGCAACTTGGGAGCCGTCCACGGGATCGGTCAGGTTCCTACAAGCTGAGAGTCCGATATTATAGGGGCCTTGGTAATTAGAATAGGTTTTGGAGCCCGTTATACCGTAATTATAAGAAGGAGCCGCCAAAATAGCATTGGTAATTATTATAAGGCTGCTGTAGTATACGTTATAGAGTCACCTCAAGGTAGAAAGCCTTTATGATAACATAGTTGTGAAGACTTGAGTCCAAGATGCATGTACCATCGATGTCGCGAATACGGTAGCACCATGTTCTTGTGATACCACCTCAAGCAGGGCTTTGATTTTGCAGATGCTGCCTCATCCTATAGCAAAGCTTACAAAGCCTCGGCTTTCAATGGGAGAAACGAAAATGGGAGCTTTCATGTGCAGTAGTTCGTGGGGTTTTGAAGGATATCATGCTCTAACTATGATACCTAAGGGGAAATGCAGGGGCCTTAATAATTAGAATAGGGTTGTTGGGGTTCCTTATTATGATTATAGTCTAATGTACCCCCAACCCCTATTCTAACTATTAAGGCCCATGTAGTAACGTTAGTAATTTTCCCTACTGTACTTGGAGGTTCATGGGTAGTTAGTGGGATTAGAAGTCGCCAAATATGGATCATAACTATACCCTACTTATCACCCCACTTATAACTTCCCATGAACCTCCAAGTAGACCCTAAACCCTATACTCCTATAGGATCCCTATAGATCCCTTTAAAGGAGCCCTATAACCTCACTCATATCTACCCAGAAGAGCCCCTAGGACTACTTGCAAAGTGCACGAGCGACTCAAGGGTTGAGTTGAACACGGCGTTGGCAACCGGCAAATCACCAGTGCCTTGGTTCTTGTTCAGGGATTTAAGTGAAGGTACAAAGTTTACAAACAAAACAATATGACTATTTGCTATAGACCCCTAGTCTTGAAAGGTAACTACAAGTAAAGTCCGTAAGAAGAACCCAGGTGCTCTGTTCATTCACCGGCCGGCGTGTGATGTTGAAGAGACCGACACAGTGGAGAGAGCAAAACCAGTTCTCTTTCCAAGAATCCTCTCTCAGGTCAAAGATCCCACCATGGCGTCCGTTGGCACCAACGTCACACCGCTGAAGGTAGTACTGCTTTCCCAGTTGGAAGATGCGGGAAAACAGATTGGGGCGACGTGCTTCAAACCAGATGCGACCAGAGGCATCCGAGTATCCAAACCGCATGAAGAAGAACAGGTTGAGATCGTAAAAGTAGCCAACCTTTACCCAGTTCTCGTCATAGACATCGATCAACTTGGAGAGCTTGATATACTGCTTCCGTTCTGCGAGGATGAAGCGAAAAGGCAGGAGATTGCCATCATAAGGTGGATCCACATTTCGCAGGTCTTCCGGGTCGCACTTCGAATTTCGGTCCAATGCCAGAAGCACCACTGCCAGTGTCAAGACCACGCTGATTGCGACTTGTAGGTAATAGAGCCACCCAGTTTGCTGACGGCGCCTCTCGGACAGCAAAGGCTCTTGAAGCTCTGCTGGGGCTGGTGCTTCCTGAGCCTCATCACCGTGAACATACCCGGGAGGGACCGGCTCGAACATGTCCACGTCGACGGGCTTATACCACTGCCGACGGCCATCGGCGTGGCGGACTCGGACCGCCATTTCATCCGGAGATGAGCCTCCCTCGTATCGAAGAACCGTCGCCATCTCTCCCGTGGCGCGGATCCTGACTTCGAAGGCATTCGACATGGCCTTGAAATTTCAAGCATGTACCCCGCTATGTACCTTTTTGTCTACTCCCGCTCTTGATTCTGCTGGTGCAAACCAACAAGCGATAATTTACGAGAGCTGCATTAGTAAGTAGCAATACTATTCCTTCACAGTTCCCGTTATACTTAGAGTGGAATCTTCCCACAAAATCCCATTGAGGCCCATATCTCTCTCTACATACATATATATATATATATATATATATAGCTTCATCTATATATATATATATATATATATGTATAGCATCAATTGACATGGCGAGGCGACTGGCTCTCGCGAGCTCTTGGGCCGAAAGTACTGCCTTTCAAGGCCCGTGGGGCGAAGGGGCACTCCCCAGAGACTCCAATATTCCTTAATTAGGGAATATACCCTAAATCCGTAGTAAGGATCCTACTATAATTTAAGATATATTCCTTAATTAAGGGATATTGGAGTCTCTGGGTCCATTCCGTGCTCGAGTTCAGTAATACAGGGGCCTTAATAATTAGAATAGTGTTTTGGGGCCCATTACAATATAAATATCATAAGGAACCCCCAAAATAGTATAGGTAGTTCAGTATGGTTCCCAGAGATCCCAATACCCCTTGATTATGGAGTCTACCTGAAAATTATAGAGGCTTTTTTTTGCCTTACTATTATGATTTAAGGTATATACCTTAATTAAGGGGTAATTATTCGGATCTCTGGGTTCCGGGTTTAGGGCTTCTAGACTTACAACTTAGGAGTTATATGCCGTCTCGGACTCCGTCATGCTACGGGGCAAGGTGGCACGAATGCATCTTCTACGCGAATGCAAAGCTCAGGGTGGGTCGGGCATACCGTAGCATACCTGTATCTTGGGAGGACGACACAGGAAATGCATCGCGAGCTATCAAGGCACCAACGGCTTCCTTTATGAAAACCCCATGCCTGAGTCTTCGGGGCACCGGGACCACCGAAGTGGACCCGCCCGCCACGGCAAGCATGGCGGGCGATGTAACGATTTCCTTTGTTTCAAGCTGCGAGCCGAAGGACGCGAGGCACGCGCGAAGGTGCAGCTGATCCTCGTGTGCTTGCTCTTTCTGAGCAGCGGGAAGACCACGACCACCTGGAAAGTCCATGAGGGTCCATGTTGCCAGACGAATGCAGACGCGGACAGAGAACCACATGAATGTTCTTCATGGTGATGCCGGATAGACACCCATCTCCCGATCCCAAATATGTGCTAAAACGCGACGTGCTGCTTACACGTGCCCTTTTGCATTCCGACGCCCACGCAGCGCGTCTGCATCTCCGGTCTCTTCTGCGTGACTTTGACTGGAGAACTCAGCGGTCTCAACAGGTGGGATCTCTGTGTCGAGGTGAGCTTTATGGGTAGCTCTTTGAATCTGGGTTCCTCTCGTGGGTCCCCAAATTAGTCCGGCATCCAAATAACAAGGACCCTAGAAGGGACCCCCTAATACAGAGAACTACCAATATGGCAATGGGCATCTTCAATTGCCATGTGCACCTACTGGTCTGGTGCTTACAGCCATGAGTTCAGCGGCAGTCTTGACCAACAGCATGATAGTTGTGCAGGAAAGACAAGATGTCGAATGTTAAGGATATTCTGGCTGTCTCTGAGTGTCTATGAGGCTATGACGATACAAGATGTAGACAGATTATCCATGAGGTTCCGACCTTACCAGCAATCGATGCTACCAATGGTTGAGACCGCATGCCTGTGCAACATGGGAGCGGCAGGCATGTCTACTATGTTGGCATGCCTGCCACGCTTCAAAGATTGTAGCAATGCTAGCCTAGACTTCGAATCCTGGCCAGGAAAAGGCCATGGAGCCAAAGAGAGATTCATCGATTACTCGGTTCTCTGCCATAGCTTGGCAGTGCTGTCTCACCTGTGACGTACTGATTGGTGAACCTCTCCATGTGAAAATGGGCCGCAAGAATAGCATTGAGCCTTTTTTTGAACATCGCGCATCACTGTGTGGCTTGCCCTATCGAAACGACTGATCCGCGAAATATGCATGTAGGCTGTAGCTGTGGCTGTCCAATCGGCAAGACCGCCACTTCTTAGCACTGCGTGCTTTTACGCGACGGCTGATGTCGATCGTTCGCTCCCTTTGCCCGTGAGCTCATTAATCATGTAATGCAATACGGAGAAGGTCAAGGTGACATCTGCACAGCTTGTTAAAGCCTCGGTACACCGCACACGACAAACGTTATGGGGCTGCTGTCTCCCCATGTTATAAATATATATCCCTTGCTTGCAGCACTCGTGTTCTCGGGCAATCCAAACTCCATGCGCACTACGACGGGAGGAGAACTCACCAAATCCCAGCTGACCCTAGCACAAAGGAACAAAAGCTGGAATCTGACGTCGATGGCAGTGGCGACGCATCGATTGACCATCGCTGCTTGCAATGATCTGGTAGTGACACCACGGCTCTTCGTAATCGGCTTACAGTGTCCCTCCGGTGTTTCTAGCTCTGGTCAGCTCGGGCAAATTGGAAAAGCCACGGAGGTGGTGAAAGTTGGAGGCCCTGGTCCACCGGTCCCTGCTCCAGCAGAAGCTGTCGGCTACGGGGCATTGAGGCTTCCCCTTCTTCTGCCGTGGAGTTGAGGGTTGCTTTACCCATAGGCCCCAAAGTAGTTTTTTTTTGCGGTTCGTATATAGAATCCTATAGGGTAATCCCAAAAAAGAACTACTTTGGGGCCTCTGGGTAAGCCGATAGGTCCGATAGGTCCGATAGTTCGGCAGGTGATGCGAAACCGGGGCCCGAAGCATGGGGGCGTGGTCAGATGTCCGCTGTCACTCTTGCCACTAGATAGAGTTCAAGGGTACTACAAAGCAAGCAGTCTTAATTGAGTTTCGTCCGGAAGTTCATGGTTCAAGACTCGCAGAGATCTAAGCCATCCCACTTCACTTGGCCTTGCGCCAGTCAGGGCGGCAACACCGCGGCTGCTGCCTGCTTACTGTCAATCTGCTTGCTCGGGGCGTTCTCCACATCACAACGCCTGGGCTCGGATTAGCTATCCTTGTGTAGCTCTGCACTAGCATACTGAAACAACGAAATGACATAACAACTTGAGGCATCCGAAGGATAGTTCTCTGAATAGGTTCTAATTTGGGGTATCCAGAGTTGGGCAGCACCCAAAACAAAGGATCCTAATTAGAGTCAAAAATAGAGAACTACCCATATATGGGAGTTTCCGAAAATGGGGGACTAGGATCCTTATTACAAGGACCCCCCAAGAAGGGACCATAATTCTGACAACCTCCCATATGGGTGGTTGTCAAAATTAGGCCCCTTTTTCGGTCCTTAATATCTTACGGCACCTATTATAGGGTATCCAAAAAAGGGACCCTAATTTTGACAACCTCCCATATGTCAGATCCCAAGGCTGACCACTGATCACATTTTCATCCGAAGCGGTGAAGTCACGAAAACCAGGTCATTGAAGCTGCGACAGTCGCCCCGTGCCCTCTGACACTGGCACATAAGTTCGAGAATATTATAAATTATAAGCATATATAGGCACATTAACAACATGCTCATACAGAGCACACTTTTGACGGGATGTATTAAACTATGTAGTTCAATGCTCAACCTGTAGGAGAAAGAACTACTTGTAATTGCAATTATTCAGGCTTCTGCATTAGCCACCGTGCGCTAATCTCCGAGAGGATAATCGAATCTAAAACAACATGAAAAAGGCACAAGCTCTCGACACTAACCTCGCCGTCGCGGTTCGACAATGCTACCCCGCATCCCCCCCAATAATGAATTGTCCTGTCAGGACTCTCATCGTAATGTCAGCCGGGTCACATCTGGATGGTTTTTCGCAAGTCGGCATCCAATTCGGCGTAGTCAAACCTTGAGTACAAGCAGCATCTCTCTCAATGCTTGTATGCATCCAACAGGTGCCGAGCTATCCCTGTCGCTTCTGTGCAGGAATGGTTGCAAGGCAAGACCGCCTTCTTCCAGTCAGTAGTGCACGCGCGTCAAATCGACAAACATATACCGCAGGTTCCTCACTCAAGGCAGAGACGTGCGCCGCCCTGGGAAATTGCTTGCCCATTATTCCTTCCTTGCGACTGCCTGCCAGCCTGTGCATGTCGAAGAGAATTTGGCCTGCCCTTGTACTGCCATTGTATATACATGCACAAGTGGCTCCCCGAAAGGACAGCACGAAGCTTCGCCGACTGCTTCCCGCTGAATGTTTTGCTGGACATCACAAGATTCTGAGCTCAAGGGAATTTCTCTCCGGCTCTCGCTGAGTGCGCCGCAATTTGCGGTAGCCTCTCCTGGTGGATATGCAGTAGACACCTCGTCGGACGCAGGTCTAAGTTGGTGTTCCAAACAAGGTGCCCTATGAAGTGCTTTGCTCACGAGAGTTTGCTCAAGCCACGAAGGTTCTGATCCTTAGGCTCTTTGGAGATAATTGGAAGTGGAAGCGCTTGAACAGCGCGGCGGGCTTGAGCAAAATCGAGATGCTCTACGGAGCGGATCTGCAGCTGAACGCGAAGCTACGCTATTCAAGCAGTCTGTCTGCAGACCGGGTCATAGGCCACGAACGGCCGACCAAGCGCACTGTATTTCAACTCAGTTCCCGTCGTTCCACGTCGTAAAGACAGCATAGGTCTTCCTTGACCTCGGTGACATGTTGCGATGGCCCACATGCCTGCCCAGCTCTTGCCTTGAAACGGTTTTGTTGAATGATGGCGGGGATGGGACAACTGCTGGAGTGCTGAAGCCGAGGGAAACTGTTCCCACATTGGTTGAGAAGACCAGATGTCAAACAAGACAGCCGGTGAAACCCCCATCCGGGCTCCTGGCACTTGTCATCGTGTCGCAGAGGATCTCCGCACGAACGCTGTCATCTAATCCGTCCTTGAGGCCTGACTTGGACAAGGCAGATACGGTAGGATCGTGTCGATGCAGCTTGGCAGGCAAGAGGCCGCGCTGATCCCAAACAAGCTGCTCGGCCATGAACTCGCG